TATTGTACAATAATTCAACATTAAAAAGTAAAAACTGAAACAATAGAAAAGCAATTTAATAGACTGTTTTATATAAAGATTAAACTCCAGTTTAGCTTCAGCTAAACCCAGCAGAATCATCAAAGCACCAAGTGTTGCTTTATGTTATATTATACACTCTTTATTACAGTACAGTACTTACAGGTTTGAACAAAGATTAAATAAATAAGTTGCTAAAGTTGTGTCTTGTTTTTTTTTCTGATATAGAACATGGACATCAAAAGAAGTGAAATGTTAGATGAAAAAAATGTGTCCTTGGCTTTTGAACCATAATAAGGCAAAACTAAATATGACTGAAGCCACTAGGAAATTCTTTAAATGCTTATACTTAAAAAAATAACAAAATAAATGTAAGTCCATTAATAGCCCAATAAGTAATGTTCAGGTAATATGTCTTCCCCTTCAATATACAATGCATACTCTAATCTAGGCTACTTAGGAGACTTTTCTTGCTTCTTTTTAGGGTTTAAATGTTTTCGGTGCTACAAAAGAAGCTCCAACAGAATCAAGCAGGCCGTTGTGAGACACAGTGATCCTCTCTGCTGGATTCTCAGAAGGTCAAACAGAGCTTTCCCAGCACAGGACAAGAAAAATGAAAACATTGTCACAAACGATAACAAGAAATTAAAGGCCTAGCATTCGTTCAAGGAATGTATATTACTCGCTGCCTTTTGTCAGACATTTAAACAAAGATTTTATGTTAAGAAATTACTTCTTGGGTTCAATATTAAAAATGGTGTTTGCCGTTTGTCAGTGCTATGAGTATGTGTTGGGTATGACTCTCAGCTACCACATCAAATTTTAGCCAAAAATCTGTAAAATTAGCTGTTTTAGGTACTTATGTGCAGGCTAAGATTAACAGTGACCACCATCTTTAATCTGCTGATTCTAAAAGGTAATCAGTTTTAGATGCTCATCTGTGAATACTTCATTAAAATTTGTTCAATAGTTCACAGGATATTTTGCTAACAAACACACAGAGAGGCAAAAACATTATTGCCCACTATTTGCCTTTTGGCATTGAGCAATAAAAACAAACCGCGAAGACGAGATTAAAAAAATCTCTCTACAGAAACATCTTCCTTCCTTCGTCTGTGTTTCTGAATGTGTCTGTAAATGTATTGCATGTGTTTTCAATCATCTATTGCTAATTAACTTCCAAATCAAAGTAAACAACATAAGATTTAGCACATTTCCTAACAATCATGAGATCAACTGGTTGAGTATCCATTACAAATGTGACATTTGGTATCTTTCCTCAGTCTTATACTCATCCAATGTAAACATTACACTACATAACGTATTTAAGATTTGTAAAGGCTAAAACTGTCCTTCCTCTGTTTATGATAACACACGCTCACACTAATGCACTAACACCTCACCTCTAAATCCCTCTGAACAAACATCAATAAGATTATTCCAGTTCGGACAAATAAATTACAGCTCGACGTTGGGCTCAACAGAGGAACACTAGGTTTGTACGAAAAATTGCTCTACATGAGGCTGGTCTTTTGGACTGATTTATGATGCTCAGCTCCTCCACCCACCAGCAGCTGCGTGGAAACAGACACCCCCACCTCTTCTTTTTGATAAAAACYGTCCGGCGTTCAGAACACCCAGCTGACAGGCACCCACTGATGCTCCGTCGACAGCTTCTCCAGAGCCACACGTAGACTTCGGAAGGCGGCTTCAAGGCCGTCGTTGACGATGCAAAGGTCAAAGTAATGTCCGTAGGCTCTCTTGGTGCGCTCGCTTTCGTCCACCGTCCTTTTCAGCTCAGAGTCCTGTCAGGAGCATATTAGAGACATTGTTGAACCCCTGTCGTTGCTTCGGCTGAACAAAAACTAAATATACTTACCGTCATCTGTTTGGTGACTACACCCGACTCGATTGCTGACCTGTTCATAGCTTTGAGGACTTCAAAGTCTGGAGCTTCGATAAACACAACATACGGCAGGAATTCAGACGTCCGCAAGACTTTAAGTGCCTTCAGAGAAAGACGGGAACAATGAGGATGGGYTATGTTAGCTGCACATTAAATAGCTTCAATAAAAAGGCAATTGGGATSTGGTTAAAATGAAAAAGTACCGTATTTATTCG